AATATTTAATATTAAAAATTTGTTGCATATTCGTATATATACTTATCCAAAAAATATTGTATATCAAATTTTTCTATTTTTGACTCCCTTTCATTGAAAGTAAAACATATATTTTTTTCATTTTTCAAAATAGTTTATTATATAATTTTTTAATATTTGTATTTATATATATATATGTATATATAAAATTCTTAAGAATTCTTATAGAATTAAATTATTGATAATGTTCAATTTATATATGTAAAGATGCTCATATTATATATTTATATATTTATATATAAATATATTTATATATATATTATATATTTATATATTTATATATGAATTGGATGTCTGGATACGATCATATGTTTCGATTCTGTTTTGTCCTCTCTTTTGAGCTGCCGTGCAACGCAACAATAACACTATGCGTAGTAGAACAAAGGCAGAATAATAGAACAGGACCCAGATTTATATAATATAATTTATTTCTATTTTTTCTTTTTATTAAATATATACATTCTTACTATTGCTTTTGGTCAAAATCATTTTACAATCATTTCCTAATAGATAAAATACTTTAATTACTTTTTTATAGTTGTTTTATTTTTGTGAAATAAGTTGATAAATATTTTTGATAATATTTTATTATTATGTCTTTATGCCTTTAAAAATTAATTTTTAAATTATATTTTTTTTTTCACTTTGAATTATTGTTCTACATTCATATTTTTAAAAAGTAACAATATTTTTAAATATCAAAAATTTAAAAAGAAAAGATTACGTAGATATTTAGATGAACAAAAGAAAATATACTTAGAAAATTATTAGTTATATTTTTTCTTAAATTATCGACTCTTTTGCACAATCATAATAATTGAAAAAAATTTATTTTGTATTCATAGTATGAATAAAATTAATAAAAATTGTAAATTGTACTATAAATATATATTTCTTTTTAATGTTATGAATCCTATAACATTTAACTACTATAATAAAAAATAAAGTGTATTATTAGTTTATGATATTCCAAAACATGAATATAAATTAATCTATTATCTTATATGAAAAATGTTCAATGATATTTCTACAAGATATGTTGAATAATTAATAAAATATTTAAAAATTTGCAAAAAGTCCTCTAAAATTATATCTTTTTTAAAGAAAATGAAAAAATTTTTAACTTTTCCGTTTAATGGTAATTTTATTTCTTATATAATTTATGATTAATAAACAATTTTCTTATATAACTAATACATACAAATTACTTATTAGTTCACAGTTAATAAATATTAAATTACATTAACATATTAAATTTAAATATAAGCCCAATTATAAATTAATAAATATTATTATTTAATAAATTAAGTCCATTCAACTTATTATAAATTTAATAGCGAAATTACATTTTTTTTTAACATAGTTTCAGTGACTAATGTACATATAATTACATCTATATAATTTTATTTATATAAGATAGAACTATACAAGTTGTTAAAAAAAAAACTTATTCAATACTTCAAGAGTTTAAGAATTCACCAAAACAAAAAATCAATACAAATTCTGTAATCAATCTTTTTTAAAACCGATTTTTATTATTAATGTAAATCGTGAATATTTTCCGCATCATATGGAAAATAAAAATTATTCGAGGAAAATTAATTTAAGATTTTCAATTCAATTAGTATTAATATTACTAATATTAACAAAAATTATTTAAATGTGAACAAAATAAAATTCATTAGCAATATAAAATGCATATTTTTACGTTCGAATAATAAACATGAATTGATCGAAAATACGAAAATAATGTTTTTCACATTCAATATAAAGTGAATATCAAAAATTTGCATTTCGTTTGCGTATATAATATGATAAATGATTTGTGTTAATATTAAAAGTTATTCTATAAAAAAAGTTCATTCATTAAGTTATAACTAATATGCATTAGATAAAGCGAGATGAAAATTGAGTAAGATATTCTACATCCGTCACGCTATCTTGAGTATGCTTGATATGTCACATTATTTTTCGAAAATAATTAATATTAATTTTTTATTACTCATTAATATTATTTTTATTAGTAGTATTTTATAATTTTTAAAATCAAGTTCTTTATAAAAATTGAAAAATTTAATCTAAATGCAAGGATTAGAAAGAGAAAGTTATATTTATATATAATTGAACAAATATTTTTATATAATTTACGCTTTATATATACTTACAACATTATTTTGCTGGAATTTAAACTAGTTCTAATTTCCATATTTTTAGTTCTTTTTAAATTAAATTATTTTAAATATTATATAAATATTTATTATTGTCCATTACTATTAATTTAGCATAGTTGATTTATTTTTTACTAATTATATTGAATATAATATTCTTTTAATATTCCAATATATTGTTTTTAAGAATTTTAAGAATTCATATCAAATTTAAATATATATCTTTATCGATAATGGATGATAATCATATTTTATTGTTGGTTATAATATTTCAAATTCAATATTTCTTTTCTTTCTTGCTATAATTCCATTGTTTTTTCTATTTTTTACATAATTTTTTCTTGTCTATTATAGTAATTCTTAAATATTCTTTACATAATTTGAGTTTTGCATTGTATCTGGCAGCTAACATCTAAACATTTTATGTAAGGTCTTTTTTAATTTTTACACACAATGAAACATCTGTCATAAATATTTATTATTTTTTAATGTCTATGTCTATTAATATTCACTAATGAAATTACTCCATTAGCAAACATATGATGAAAAATATTTCAAAAGTTGTGATAAATTCAATGAAATTCTAAATCATGATTGTTAATAATTCATAAAGACTACAATGGAAAGGATAAAATCTGATTACATAACATTCTATTATTTATTAATCTATCAATTGATTCAAATATAAATCAAATATAAATAAGAAAAATGTTTAAATAATATTTTTATTGAAAAACACACAACGAGATTAAAATATATAAAATAAGAAAGAAAAAAATCTATTGATCAAATATTATATAATAATACATATTAATATTATATATTAATACATGTAATATTACATAACCTATTGACAAAATATTAATATAACAATAATACAATATTATTTCAATTATATAAAATATTTTGGAATAAATCTCGTCTTTAAACTTAAATATGAAATACACGAAAAAAAAAAAAAAAAGAAATAGACATAATTAAACTAAAAAAATAGTGATTATCAATAATCACGATAATGAAGTTCTTGCAGAAAATCTTCATGAAGAAAAAAACTTTTATAAAAAACAACAAAAGTTTTTATCAAAAAAAAAAACTGTTAAAAGCTATAATATTACTAAAAACTAAAATTAACTAAAAAAGATATAATATTATAAAATAAAACATTATGAATAGTACAATTTTTTCGATATAAATGAATATATTTAACAAAATAAAAAAAAATAGAAATTAGAAAGTCAGCAAATATTTAATAAATCACAATTTATTTTTGTTTAAAATATTATTCAAATATTGAAGTATCGAAATATACGAAAAACATTTGTCATAGACTGAAAAAGAAAAGACTTATAGATTTTATCTTAATGCATAACATTTTTAATAAAAAACTTCTAGAAAGAAGCACTCTAATTCTTATTAATCTAATAATAAAACACATATAAATGATTACTTGTTAAAAATTAATCTGAAAGAAAATGAGATCGAAGTTAATATTTTCTTAAAAAAAAAATTGCATTCTTCATTTTAATTTGTATTTTTATCTATAACTAAAATGATATGTGCGATCTTCAATTAGTTTTGAAAGAAAAATCATTTAAAATCTTATAATTATAAATATAATTTCAGAAAATATAACAATTATCTTTAATTCCATTAGTAATCGCTTTCATGAGATGTGAAAGAAATTATATTATATACAAATTATAAGTTATAAGATATAGATATAAATATAGACAAATAAATAAATTCATATTATAATTTACAATAATGTGGTAATTTAGAAGAACATAAAAAAAAAAGAAATTGATAATTAATAAAAGAAGTGAATTTTGATTAGAATAAATGAATATATTTTTATTATTTTTATAAATAAATAAGTATAATTATTTAAATGAACAAAATTAAAAAAAAATATGAAAGGTAAGTGAATATCAATATGTACATCTAGAATTTCTTTTTATGTAAAAACGAACTTTTTCGATAATAACAGAGAAATATTATTTCTATTCTCTATATATCTATATATTTCTATGTATCTATATTTTATATATCTCTATGTATCTATATAAAAAGATTTATTTCACTTATAATTTCAGACATTTATCTGAAATTTTCCTTTACTTTACTTTTATATTTATTTATGGATATATTATATCACAATTAGTATAATTTAAGAAAAAATTTAATTATACAAATTTTAAAAAATAATATTAAATGCTTTAAAGTTATATTTACATTTGGAATGTTTATAAAAGTCTGTTCCAAAAAATTTTTATTATTTTATTATTATATTATTATTATTTTATTATTATAAATTTTTATTATTTGATTTAGTTATACTATAAAATTTTAAAATTATTATAAAATAATGTAAATTTATATATTATATAATTATTTTTATAAAACTATAATTTATATAATTATATTATTATATAATTTTATTTAAAAAATCTCTAGCAATTATTATTTGTCAAAGATTTACTTATCAGAATTCTATTATGTATTATATTTCTAGTGACAATAATAAAAGCATTTAGAACAAAAATCTTACTATGGACACCAAAAAGCCAATATACTTCGTTAATACATATCATTATTGTTAATGAGATATTTGGTCTACGTACATTTGAATTGAAAGGACGATTACGATATGGTTGGAGTATAATATACGGATGCATATGCATTATTTTATATACTATATTTCTGAATGTAGTAATTAACGTAGATTATAAAAATTGGTCTGTATATCAAGAAGTCAATTTTAAAATGGCTTCATGCATCAACTTTATATGCATCATGATTTTTATAATTCTTGGAATGCTAAATACAGAAGTAAGTATTACTAATTAGTAATTTAATTAGTAAGTAAATATTACTAATAGTAATTTTACTAATTTTTATAAATAAAATCTTAAAATATCAAATATATTTGTATACTTCTCCTCTTTCATTTATAATAGATTTGCAAAAATCACAAATTGGTCTGAAAATATTATAATAAATACTAATTGTAATTAATTTAATTATAATTATAATTATTATTATTATTAACACATTAACATTAATTTAATTTCAGTAATATAAAATATAACAACGAGAAAGTTTAAAAATATTGTATTTTATTATTTTAATTAATAGCTATTAATTTTTTATTTTTAAAATATGTTATTATTGAACATTCTACATTTCATGAAAAATTATGAATATCACGTTTTAATTCAATTGCCTCAATTATAATTTTATTATAAAATTATTTTGCTTACTAGCATTTAAAATTAGAAAAATACTAAATTTTTTCCTAATGTTACTGATATTTAAACTATTATATATCAATAAAAAAAATTATATTAGTCTAAGATTATTTTAGAGAACGAAACTTTTACTTTCATATTCTTAATCTTAATTTTTTCAATAATCTCTTTTAAATGATTATATTTCTAGTGAATCTCTTTTATAGAAATTTCAAGCTCTGTGAAGTTTAAAATTTTTTTTTGGAATTTATTTATAATATAATAAATAATTTTTGTTTAAAAAAATCTCCCGTTTATAATGATTTTTAAAAAATTATACAATTCTTTTGTAATTATGTATTAATTATATATATAAGAAAAGAAGCTTTCTTGCCGATTTTAATTATTTTTATCATAGAAAATAACATTTTGAACAATGTTTTCCTGATCTTATAATCATTTCTCAGTTTTAATTTTCGAAAAATTGAGAAAATATAAAACAATTCTTAATTAATAAATAAAATAGACTTATGACCGAAATAAAAGTTATAATAATTGATAACAAATATGATGATCATTTATGTTATTTTATTATAACTTTTTTTTATTATTAATATTTGATGAAGTTAATTTAAATTTAGTTTGTAATAATCAATATTTGAATTTTTCGAATAAAAATGTATTTAAAATATTTTTATAAAAGTATTTTACTAGTATATTTTATAAAAGTATAATTTTTATAGAAATTTTCAAATTGTACAAGTTGTATTGATTATAAATATTCAAATTCATGAATTTTATATTTGCAATTCATATAATATAATTATATAGATATATAAAAATAGTATTTCATATTTTTGACAAGTATCGCATCTAATTTTTCAATTAGATTCGCAAATATAATGAATGAAGATAATTTATGGAAAAAAAATTATTTCCGAACAGCAAGTGGAAAATGAATCATAAGATTTATGACTTATATGATAACTTATGATTCAGGAAAAGTTTTTCCATAAAAATTTATCGTATGTTTGTATCTTATTCAGCACAAAATGAAGAGTAGTAAAATGATGAGAATTAGAAAGATAGAAATGTTTCTTAAAATTTCAATATCATGCAATTTAATAGATATATTAATACTATACCAATTTAATTGAACTTTCTAATAAGAGAATAATCTTATATATATATCATAATATAATAATGTAAAAAAGTATTTTTAAACAAATTTAAATTATGAAGCATAGAATAATATACTGACATTATTATGTTTTGAAAATATCAATATTACTTAGAATACAATAATTAAAAATGAGATTTTCTTTTCGATTTTGATAATTTTTGAATATATTGTAAAAGTCAAAATTTTAAACAATTTTTTTCTATGAATAACCGCTTGGCTTTCTAATCCCATTCTTTCCCATATAATTAGCTCTAAAACAAACCCAAAAATTAATATATAAGAATGTCGAAGATTTATTTATTAAATTTTAGTATTTCAAATTAGCTTTAAATGAAGTAAGATACAAATTGAAACTCATTTTTTATCTGCCATAAAATAATCTCATTTTTTTTCTATTTCGCTTTATTTCTTAAATCATTAAATCAACATTTTTGCACATCAACTTTTATATTTGTTTTGACTTTTAATATCAAAAACAAATCTACAAATTAATTAATATTTTACATAATAATTTTTTATATTTTTCAAATATAGTTATATTTCTTACACTTTTTTTTTTCATTGTAGTGTTCAAGAAAAATCATAGCAAGATGTGAACAAATAGACAATACTTTAAAATCATTTGGAATTGAGAAAAATTATAAAAAAATTTTTTTTCAAATTGCACAAAAATTAATTATGTTTAGCGCAATAATAATAAGTATTATCTTATTAAATTGGTACATTATTGAACAAAAATTTGATTTAATTTTTGTTATATCTTATATATCAATAACAACTATGTCTTTAGGGATTTTTACTTTCACCATATTTGTGAGGTAAGTTATATAAACAGAAAAATATTCATAAATATAAAAACGAATTGAATAAAAAAACAAATATATTTCTAAATTTATGGCTAAAATTTCTTGATTTTTTCAGAATTAAAAATCTGTAATAATGTATTTTTGAATTTTATTTAAATTATAGTTATTATAATATAAATTATAATATTATCAATTAACAGTTAATATCGTATTACATAATTTGATAAAATAATATTCGAAAATTAGAAAATATTAATTTTCATAAATAACTTCACTAATGTTCTCTATTAATATTAATATTATAAATTAATTTTTACTATTTTATTTTTTTTCTCAAACTTGCATATGTAAATATATAGTAAATGTAAATATAAAAGGTATTATATCTTTGAAGATCTATAAATAATTCGAACGAAATTCAAAGTTAAATTTTTTTTATTACAATCATATTCTATTTATCGTAAGGATATAAAATCTCAAAGAAATCACAAACAGTTTAATTAAACTGTTTCCTTGAAAAAATGATAAAAATCTCATTATTTTTCGAATTCATTTTATTCATAATTTGCATACCATTTTCAGTTAATTGCAAGAAAAATAGCATTCATTGTAGTATATATTTAAATGCCCTAGATTTGCTATTGTATATACTATATCTTTCTTTTCTCTTTTCTATTTTTATTCGCGTTCACGAAATAATGTTGTTAATGGATAGAAGATGCATGTGTATCGAATTTTCTTTAAGGTGTATATTTTAATGCACAAATTGATTGCTTGTAACCATAATGTATTTTTTAACGATAAATAGATTGTATTAATAGATAAGTGCGGTACACGTATATGAAAACTGGGTCTCTCACAATATCACAATAGATGATTGTATCCAACGGGTAAAGCAAATGCATAGTCATAAAGAAAGTATCTATTTATCGTATCTGACAGAATACAAAAAAGTATTAATTAAATATTCTTTACAATGTCACAATAGATAATCGTGTCTGATGGTAGAGCACGATGTTACAAAAAAACTGATCTATTCAACGATTTGAATACGATGTGTTCACAATGAGCATTAATTAGACTCTTCTTAAATGAGGATTCATATATTCAGAAAGCCCTTCTAAGTTCAATTGAAAATGAGTTATAACTTACTTTTTGCTTGATATATACATATATTTCAATCATATAAAGATTTTTAGAAATGCGAATTTGATGATATTTATATAACGAGAAAAAAGAAAAGAAAAAAAGAAAGATATTGTAAAAAATTTTGTCGAAAATAGAAAAGAATAAACAAGGATAGAATCATAGAATTACTAAAAATAATAAAGTCTTGTCTGAAAATTAAATCATGAAACAAATTTTTCCATAATGAGAAATATGACCAATGTCTTTTTTCGTATATCTATATTTTCGTATATATTTTTCTATATCTTTTCGTATATCTATTTTTCTTTTTTCATGATGAGATATATGACCGGTATCTTTTTTTGTATATTTATATTTTCGTATATATTTATTTTTTTTTTCTTTGCACATTTTCATTCCAGATAAAAGAGAGTATTGGCTTATTAATATCATCATGGAAACTTTCAAGTTTTGATTGGCATGTCGTGTCGAGTTTACACTATAGAATATAATAATGGTAAATCTGAGCTATCTATGTGACACAATAAATGTTATTTTTTTTACAAATTAAAGAATATAAACAAATTATAGATAAAATTATTTCGAAATGAAAATTTAATATTTTTTTTCTTTTTTTTTTTTTTAATAGAACAATACATTAAATATTTCTTTTTAAACTTTTTATGTTTGCAATAAATAGAATACAATCAAATAAAAAAAAATTTGACATTAAATCTTAAAATTAAGATCATTTTTGCATGCATTTTATATTATTAATTCAAAATTATATTATAATTTTCTTTATACATATTTTTTATATACAGTACTATTAAAAAATTATAAATTCATCTATATTTTATGTTTTTTACAAAAATGGAACAAATTGAAAAATTGAAAAATTTATATATATTTTTATAATATTATACATAAAAAATATAAGAAAATATAGGAAGAAAAATTTTTTTTGTAAAAAAAAAATGTTCTCTTAGAATTATATTTTAGATTATAATAAAATTAATCTATATTTAATATCCTTATATTTAATATTTTATCAATTTTCTTTTATTCTTGACTTTTGATCAAGCAATTATAAATATTAGTAATTAAGATATTTAGGTTTTCTTCTGCAATTATTCAAGTGAATTCTATTTATATATTTTTCTAATTTTTAAATTATGATTAATCTTTATATACTTCTTCTAACCATAAATTTTTTTGCCAGAATATAACATTAAATTTTTAATGATTTCAAAATTATTTTTTGAATTTTACAGAATTTTATTATGACAATGAATTAAAGTTTAAAATTCAATTTAAAAAAAAATTCCTTAACTTTTATGATGAGTATAAAATTTGAGTATTGCATCAATTGCATTAAATAAAATAAACTTATTCCAAAAAATAGTTTTCTTCGTTGAAATTTCCGTTAATGTCATAAATGATATTAAATAATTTTATAACATTTGTTGAATATACGTTTTATTCTGGCAAGAAAAGGTTATAATTAATAATTAAAGGTTATAAATTAATAATTATAAGAAGTTATAGAATCTATTTTAATAGAGATTACAGAAAAATCTTTTTGAGTAACATTTCTGTCATTGCATTCAAATAATAATAAAAATATTTTATACGAACAAGTTCAGATTTATTCAAAATTAAACTAATAATGTGAATCTTAATTTACCATGAATAATGTGTTTCTTAATTTACCATGAATTTGCGATTTTCTAAATATTAAATAGATAGTGAAATTAACCATAAATATTATAATTAAAAAAACATGCTGAAATTATAAAAAAAGTATATATACATTGCTAATACTATTAATATATTATGAAATTTTTTTAAAATTTTCCATGGATATTAATATTTTATATATATATATATATATATATATATATATATATATATATATATATATATTAAAAAATTAAATAAAATTTTAATATGATGATTGTTTTTTTTTCTTAAATAAGTATTTATCAAAATAATGAAAGTCAAACGATACAATGGCTTTATAATTATAATTACATTATATAGTGACAGCAATTATAGAAGAAAAATTTAAGATCGAACAGGAAAATCTTTGAACTAAAACTATAACTATAATAAAATTTTATTGATATAGAATTTACTAATAGATAAAAAGAAATGCTTTCTCAAATCGAATTGAAAATAAATAATTTGGATTGGATATATATTAAATATATATTAAATAAATATATATATATATATTAAATAAATTATTTAATTACAAATGTTTACGATCGCTTGATCATAGATAATTAAAAATAAAATTAAAATTATATATTGAGTTCACATTTTCGCATAGAGTATTGTAGAGTGAAAAATATTATTTTTTCAAGAGAATATTTTTTTTTTTCAGATTTATGAAAACAAAATTTTGTTTTCTCATTTCATTTCCTTATTTTTCTTGTACATCATATTATAGAAATATATAAGAATTATTTATTATATTTAATATATTTAAAACATTATTTCATTTTTATAAAAATTATGTATAAAAATATAGAATCTATAATGTTAATCATAGTATTGTCATAGTATTTTTTTCAAAATCATATTATTTGAATTTTTTTTAAGTATTTTACAGGACAAGTTGCATAAGATGAATAAAGTTATGAAAGAGATATATCAATTATCAAATACAAATGATATTAATATAAAATATAAAATACAGTCATTTATTGTACATAAATGCATAATTGTAATGGATTATTATAATAGAAAACATTTTGTACAACATTTTCTTCAAGTTACAAGGTATTTAATATTTAATATTTTTAAAGCAATGTGTAGAATTTTCTAATATTTTAATATTATTAGTATATTATTATTAAATTATTTTAATATAGTTAATACATTAATAGTATATTTTGTAAAATTATTAATATAAGAAAAAAGCAAATAATCTCAAATGATACATAGTTTCAGATATCTTAAATATTTTATAAACAATTGTAAATCAGTAGCAATATGTATATCAAGCGAATTTGATATAATCAATTTTTCTCATTTTCTCATTATTGACATCAAATTTCATATTGACATCATATTTATTTTAATGTTTATTATTAAATATATTTAATATATATTTTATTGATTTTACAATATACTACAATATATTTATAGATACAATATATTTTAAGATTATATATAATAATATATTTTAAGATTATTAACATATTTTAAAATTAACTTTCTTAAATTAATTTTATCATATTATACAAACTAATGTTTAAAAAAATTGATAAAGTCAATCGGGTATATTTGGACTCAAATATTACAAAACATAGATTAAAATTCAAAATATTATCAAATTTATTATATTATCAAATTTATTAAATTAGACTTAATAGAAAGAAATAGATTTGCTTTTTGAATCGTGAAATATTTAGCGATATTAAGATTTTTAGCTGTTCCTATAACTGAAATGAAAATAATTCAAGAGTCAAAATCTATCGATAAGTTTTTTATTTTTGAACAGTTTTCTACAATAATTCCTACAATAGAATCTTCTTTTAAGCTAATAGTTTTAACATACAATGCATGCAATTAAATTGTTATCATTTTTATTTAATATTATTTAAAAAATATTTTTTAACTGTAAAGAACATAAAAAATACTTTTCCCAGTTGAAAATGTTCTTTTTTAAAAAAAATTATTTAAAAAATGCAATTCATTTATAATTAATCAGGAAGTTTTGTTCTTCAAAAAGAGAAATTTTATAAAAATTTATAAATTATTTATGTTTTTTGTGTTATATTTAAATATCTGAAGCTATCTCATTTTCTCTTATTAATGACTTAAGTTATTTGATTATAATAAAAATGATAATATTCTTTTGTTATTATGATACTTCATTTGTCATTAATCTATTTTTTTTTCTCTTTTATTTAATTAAAGGTATATTCATTTTGAAATCCTGAAACTTTCATATGAACTTAATAAAACATGTACTTATCAAATTCTATTAGATTTAATAGTGCAATTTTTATTATTACTGAATACATTTTACAACATGTATCTTTATTTAATGTCATTAAATTTATTTGAAGTATTATCAGATATACAAATTATAAAATATTTAATATGGATTTCTTTATTTTCTATAAAAGTTATTTTTTTAAATAATTATTGTACTAAATTTTATCATGAGGTAAGATTGTATCTTTTTACATTATATATTATACATTAAAGAATTAATATATTAGCATGCATATAATGTTAGAATTTTATAGGTAGAAGTAACAGCACATTTGCTTCGAGATCTAGATATTTGCTATTTGGATAATTCTATTAGAAATGAGGTAAGATCCATTATTAATGTAATAATTAAATCAAAATTTATTTTGATTTACCTTTAGTAAAGATTATCTTTTTATGTACTTTTTCTTTACTGATTTTTCTGATTTTAAAATATATTTCAAAAAATATATTTTAAAATATATTTCAAATATATTATCACCTTGAATTTTTTTATGTTATCTGTAAATGATTTTAATTTTTAAGTTGTTCTTAAAAAACTTTTGACTATTATATTATTGAATTCTATTTATAAAAGCTATAAAAAATTATGATTCAATTTTGAGATAATAATTTTTCATCTTCAGATCGATAGTAATTTATTAAAAAAAGTGACCACAAAATTGAATTTGAATATAATTTTCTGATCATAATAATCATAGATCATAAATATATTATTATCTTGAAAAAGATATTAAATTTTTATTCACGTAAATTTTTTATTCATGAAAATTTATTGTTTATAAAATGTTTTTTTTAGGAAAATTTAAAATTATATAATAAATATAACTATATTTCCATAATAATGTGTTTCAATATGTTGTTACCATTTTTTTTAATTATTTATATAAATACATAAAAATTGCTGGCATATAAAATGTATATTAAGTATCATCTTTCTTAAAATTTTAATATTTATTCATATAGAACTTAAACGTTTTGATAATCCTTCAGATACAAAATAAATATAATGTTTCAATATTTGAAAAAACGAAATTGCAATGAACAATTACAAAAATAGTTATTAAATATGTCAATATCGTTATTATTGTAATATTCATTATAATTTTGATTATTATTATATATAATTATATATAATTTCCATGTCTTTGTCCATGTTTATAATAAAATATAATGGGAATGTTATAGTTTCTCTGTGGAACACGCTGATAACGAATAATATTGTGGCCAATGTCCGATTTGCGATATTGCCTAAGTTCAAGAAAATTCCTCAGGTAGTGATTTATACAATGATCTCATGATAAACAGGAACAGATCGACGCATTTCTCTTATATTCCTCGAACTAAAACAATGTTATTTATCTTTGAATCAGCCGCTGGTATATCACCGTTAGGATGATTGATCGGTCTTTCAGCTCGTCTAAAGTACCCCAAAAATATACAATTATAATTAATTCAGCTAAATTCTCAAGACAGTCTTCTCAGATACTTCTTCGTTTAGGCTTAATAAAGGCTTGAGTGCGATAGTAAGAGAAAAAGTTTTTTATATAAAAAATTTCTCCGAATAAGCTGTTATAAATCTCATGAGTAATAAATACTCGCGAACATCCTGTAACATAAGAAAGTTTGTTTTATTACTATTTGACTTTGCATGATTTTCAATGATTAATACTTACTAAAGTCTTCTCAGCTATTATATCACGATAAAAAAAACATAATATTTTATTTAAAAAATAAAGATGACCTTAGAATCTCCTCTATACCTTCATTCACGCAAAAAATGTTTGTATCACAAATGTTTGTATCCCCTCTATATAGTGCAAGTTTTGTATACAACATTTTTTCATATTACTATAAATAACGGTAATATTCAAAGTAAACATAATGCCTCATTCTTCTATTTATAAAGATAATAAATAAGAAGCGATCATATACTAATATACATATATGTTGCCATGAATGCACTATTATGAATGCATATTACGAATGATTGCAAATATAATAGAAGCAATAATTTTTTGTAAATATCTTAAAAAAATTAAATTTATAATAAATTTAAATTTACAATCATCATAATCCGTAAACATTCAATCGAATTATCATATCAATTCATTGTTTCAATAATAATAATTGTTAAAAAAAATATATTAAAATATATTTAAAAAAAAAGAATACTAAAATATATTTATATTTTATAAATATATTTATATATTACTATGGATATTTTTTTATAAATGAAATGAACATATTCAAAATTTAATTTTTTTTTATTTTTTACATTTAATTAAATAATATTACAATAAATATTTACTCGTTAATGTTTTTTGATTCGAAATTTTATTTTAATTATTTAATACATTTACAAAGTTTATAAATTTTTTTTATTGTTTATAATGAAAAAATGAATGCATATTATTTTTATTAAAGAGTGTGTTCGTTTCTACACTTGTTTTGAATTATTATTTTGAATAAATTATATTTTGAATAAATTTATATTTTATTATTATTTTCTCATATATTTAATACTCTCATTATACAGTTGTTGTAAAAAATATTATTATTTATATTCACATTTGTTAAATATAACGAAAGCAAATTCAAATTTTTTTCATCAGAATTCTTATTTAAAATATTTGTATTTACTTAAAACAAAAAGTTTTATGCTTTACTTTCAAGTTAATTTACTAATTTAATTATTTATTAATTCGAATTTATTATTTAAATTGATCTTGTGAATTATTCCCATAGATTTCGACAAATTGAGATATGTTAAATGTCATATAACATATGAATTTAATATTAATTTATACGATTCATCTATAAATTTTATTAAATATATAAATATAATAAATTACTATATAATACCGAATATTCTAAAATTTGTTGTAACTTTTTCGAGATACAATTTTCTTAAATAACAATTATACATGATAATTGTATAATTGTATATATGATATTATAATATTATGTATTACATAATAATTTTATTAATTGAGAATATTTAAAAAAAAATAAGATTATTATTCATTGAGAAACTGCTACAAAAGCGATACTTTAAATATTTTTTAATTCTACTGTTATATCATTTCATTTTATTTAACGCATACTTAAAATGCTTATAATTTATTAACAAACAATGTTTTATTAGACATATGTATACAGAAATTTTTTCATTATTTTGATATTTAGAATTCATAGTCTAAAAATTCCACATTTTTATAATAAAAATTGTCCACGAGCACTTATTGCTTATGAGATTTATAAACAGCTTTTGGAGAAATTTTTCATAAAAATCCTTTTCTGTTATTATTGTTCGCAGATCTATTATATATATTAAGTCTAAACAAAGGATGATGTTATTTGAAAATATTGTCATTTTTAAGAGTTTAGTCGATAATTATAATTGTATATTTTTGACACACTTTAGCTTGATTGAAGAGGAGTCGGATCCGAAAGATGATATATCTAGATACGGTTAACAAGGACAAAAAGCATCATTCTAGTTTGAGAAATTTACTTCTAACTTGGGAATGTCGCGACTTAGGCATTAACTGCAATATTATTGTTTATTAGCGTATCTCATCGGAAGATCCTTCCAATTGAACTTAGAAGAAATTTTCTAAGGACACAAGATTTCATTTTTTGATGCTGTCTACAGGTGAAGAGATTCTCAAAACGAACACATCATAATCTAATTGCCGAATACAATAATTAGATAGTTTATGAACACATCGTACTCTGACTATCGGACATGGTTACCTGCTATAACATTATAAGAAACATTGTTCCTCTCTTATAAATAAGCGCCACGAACGTAATATTTAGTCCATTCATTTTTAAGAAATATACCACTTAATATATACCACTTGTTGTTAACATCTATCGCAAGGCATTCGTTGTAAGGCATGGAAGTGTGATTTGTGAAGCGATTGCTGCTGATTTAAATTTTATTTAAAATAAGAATCTGGAAACCGTTAGAAAACTATAGCTCATATATTATTGTTAGGTTATTGAAAATACTGGAGCTATTAAAAGCAAAAGCTAAGTTATCCGACTGCTTCATAAGTCTTAGGTCTGTCCTTAAAAACTACTGTTGCAAACGCGAACATATTCTACATATTTATGTATTATATTCTACATATTTAGTATTCCTTTTTAACCTTATATTACTCTATAAAAACATTTATATTCAAACATTTTTGAAATTGTCAGATTTATAGTTTATATATTTGTAGTTTATATATTTGTGTGCTAAATAATTCTATATTCAAATAAATTATTTTTTCTATTTGATTTTATTTAGTTTATATTATTATTAATTTTATTTGAAAGTTTTTTTTTATTTAAAATAATAGAGGATGCTATATGAATTTTTTCAGACTTTTTTTTTTCGAAAAACATATCAAATACAAATGATCTTCATTTGGAGTTTGAAGTTACCATAAACTTTTAAAGAATTAAAATTAATAATAACAAAAATTTCAGGTGCAACAATTTTTATTACAAGTTCATCTTCATCCTTTAAAATTTACTGCTGGTGGTTATATTCTCAACAATAAATTTTTAACAATGGTGAGTTAAATGAGTATATAACTTAATTAATTACTTAAGAATTTAATTTCTTTTTCAGTTTTTTGGTACCATAATCACTTATTCAGTTGTATTGGTACAAATGAATTCGTTGTCAATTTCAAACTGAACTCTTTAAACAAAATCTTTGAAGATTAATGATTTATTATTATAATATCATTTGTAAGAAAAAGTTATAAGAAAACAATAATGAGATTGCTGGAAAAAAAGTTGATTTGATATTCGTTCTTATATTGTAAAATCTATTGTCGTCAATTTTTGATGCTGTCTACAGGTGAAGAACCACTCAGTGATGTGAAAAAAATAGAATTTGATAGGTTTTTTTTAACTCGATGAATTTGATTTTACCGACTCATTGTGAAAGTTAGGGCAAGAATTGGATTTTGATTGGTCATTTATCATTTGAAGAATAGATATTATTAATTCCTTGAAATAGAAATAATGTTGTAATTAAAGAAAAATCATTATTGATCGCTTATTATTATCGCTTATTATTGCAGAATAGGTTTAGATCAGAAATAAAATTGCATTAAAAATTCAAAATTGTACTTGATTTATTTAACAAATTGATCTTTACAATTGATTTCTAAGTCCGAATGTAATATTGATTCTAGCTTTTATTATTTTTTTTTTTTTTTGCTTATTACTTTGCCTTTTTCCCACTCCCAAAAGAAAAATTTTTCATGTTTTTCTTTTCATATATTTAAAGAAAGCGGTTTTTACTCTAAATTTGTATTTAAATGGCAAATCGTGACAATTTTGGAATGGCATGAACGAGACATCAATTAAATATGTGTGAAAATATGGTATCAAAATAGCTAAAATTTCCGAGTTAAGTTCAAAATTTATATCTAGCACCAATGTTCTAATTTAATAATAAGAAATTCTATTTTAAACAGCCTTTAATATATGGTATTGCGATAGTGAAGCCTAGGATGGGTGAAAGTCTTTCTATATAATGCATATATTAGTCTATCTAATGTAAACCTACTTAAAAAAAATATAAGATAAAGAAGTTGGAGCTAATTACTCATATCTAATAATTTAATAAATGTAATAAATTTATAATACCTATTGTAATTCTAATATATACATTTATTATATTCTCTCTTATATAAATTTATTATATTTCTAAGATTCTAAAGATCAAGATAAAAGATAATATATAAAAATGTTTGAAACTTATTTATTAAATTATTAGCAATTTAAATTTCTTTTTTTTGTCTTTATTTCCATCTCACATTGTTTCCGCCTTGCTTCATCTAACAAAAATTAAAATTTTATATATAATAAATAACCCGATATTTTTGTTTAGAAAGTTTAATATCATTTTAAATGAACATATTGTATTGGGTGATGATGAACAATAAATTTATAATTCTACAATTATGCAAGCAATGAACAACTAATAAGCATACGAACGAAACAATAACACGAAAAATTATAAATTGCACTATAATTCAAATTATTTAATGTTATAATTACGAATACATTTGCAAATCGTTTTATAAATCACATTTAAACACAATATTATAAATATTCTCTATAATTATAGAACTTGCCATTTATAGGATTATTATTATTTTAATTATCGCTTGTGTCTTTTTTCGACATTATTAAAAAAATAAATTCCATAATTTAAATATTTAAAAAAAAATTATAATTAAACCAAGAAACAAAGGAGTGACTCCTAAAAAAGAAAAAGAAGATCTCCAGTATAAAAATAGAATTTTAGTCTTATATTTAATTCTTATATTATACTTTATTTATTAAATTGCATATATTAAATATAGTTTTAATAATATAACAAAATATTAAATTTATCTTTTTGTAATTCAATTTCTTTATAAATTATTTTTTAATTCGTAATGCATTTTAATATTGACATACTTAAAATTAAATATCAATATTTCATAAAAATAACTTGTATCATATCATTTTAAATGTAGTTTACTATTTTTGTCTTCCTATTTAAGAATGATAATCTTTTTTTATTATTAATCAATTGAAAACAACAATAATATTGAAACATGACTCTAATTTCTCAAATGGTAGTAAAAACAAATAAAAAATAAATTTCAAATAGAAAAAAATAATTACGCGTAAAAGATGTATTTTTTTTATCGAAACTTTATAAATTTGAAAAAGATAGAATTCGAAACACAATTGCGAATAGAATTTGAAGTGTTCACATTACAAGTGAATGTGTGAAATTTTAGTTATTTTGGTACCATACTTTCACACACATTTAATTAATGTCTCTTTCATGCCATTCCAAGATTGTCACGAATTTAAAAGAATTCTGAAATTCAAGCATTTTCGATGAGAGATATTGAATTAGATTAATTAAGATATTTATCGGATTGTTCTATTTCTACAGATATGAGTAAGATTGAGTACTACATACGCTAAGAAAAGTGATCAACCAGTACAATATTTTAGGATCAATTTATAAATGCAAAAATTTCGCTGGTACAAAAATTTAAAGGTATGAAACAAAAAGATCTTATCATTGCAAAAATTTTATCAAGTTTAACAATAAAATATAATTATGTTCACACAATCTGATTTACCACGAATAGATGAATAGATGAAAATTTTGAACTGACAGATCATTTAACATAAATGAAAAAATGACGTTAAAAATGCAAAATATACAAATATCCTGTGAAGAGATGGAAGAAACATACTATGCGAGAGAACTATCGAAAAGAATCATATTTGCTATAATTCTCATGATTCTCGTGGCCCTGATAAAAATATAAAAAGAAATAATAAATGTCATTTCTATAGAAAACTCTATATTGAGCTCGTGATTGTATAATATAGAAAAAGATATATACGAAAAAACAATTCCTATCTCAAAAGAATGAAAAAAAATAAAAAATAAAAATATTAAATATTCTGATTCAGTTAAATTATTTAATGTAGAGAATTTTCCACAAATGAAAGATGAAGATACATGGTTGTCGATTTAGTATATCTTTCAAAAAATTAAATAATTAACACAATAATTTAAAAGCAATGAAAATGTATATAGAAAATACATACACGGTTCACGTAGGCGATGGCAATACATTGTGTGTAAAGAAACGATGTTGAAACGATAAATATGGAACTAAATATTAACGGAATGAAATATTTTTGAAATTGGATATATTTCTATAAAAACAATAAATTAATTGTTAAGGGAAATAAACTTAATGAAAAAACTTAATAAAATTATATAAATTAAATTTCATATTGGTACTTATGACAGAAGCAAATGTGGAAATGTTACTATGGCACGAAAGATTAAAATTAAATTTTAATTTTAAGTAACAATACATATTAAGTAATTTTACATATTATAATAACAAATTCGAGTGTGCAAGATTTGAAAATCAATGGTATAATTATAGATAATATTTTTTGTGAAGAATGTGTATATGCATCGAATATCTTTTTAAAAAGACAATCTGCAAAGATCAAGTATGCAAGAGAATGTTTCATGCCAATCTATGCGGTAAGATGTAATGTAAAAAGACTAAGACTAAGAACTGATTATATAAAGAATTTTGTAATAAAACGGTCAAAAATTATTTTCGAAAAACATTAAACATAAGACAAAGATTGCATGCACCAGAACAAAACAGATTTATCAAGAGACAGAATAAAACAATTACTATATTAGCGAAGTCTTTATTGCATGCAAAGAAGTTATTATATTTGAATTAAGACAACGGTTACAGCTGTTTACGTTAAAAATTGGACGATACAGAAATCTTAGAAGGATCAATGTTGTATGAAAAATGGTACGATGAAAAATCATCTGTTGCACACTTATGAATTTTCGAAAGTAATTATTATGCTCATATATCGAAAGATCAAAGGAGCAAGTGAGAGATAAATTCCGAAAAATATTTGATGATAAATTATATCAAATATTTTTCCGAGAAAACAAAATTTATCAGTTATTCGATCCTGTTGTGAAGAAATGTTACATTCATAGAGATATTATTATATTTTTAATGAAAACTCTAGATGCGAGATCTAGATTTATAAAGATAATTGAATTTATTGATAAGATAAGTAAAACAAATGTGAAATGTGAAATATGGCTAAAATATTTCTTGTTGCTTATGAATCACAAACGGTTTAAGAAGCATTAGAAGTAAAAGATTGAGTAAATGGATAAAAGTAAAAATTTGAATCAACGAAGAACTTCAATCTCTTGAAGAAAATAAAACATAAGTTCCAAGAGCAATATTAATATTTGTTCAATTTATAATGTTAATATTTCAAATCGATTAGATTTTCAAAAGAAAATATAAAATGAATGGAGCAATTTGTAAATATAAGACTTATCGTAAAAGACTATGCACAGAAAGATGGCATTGATTATAAAGAAACGTTCTCTCCGATCGTAAAATATGATACTATTAGATTAATGTTTGATCACTTCTGAATCTGGATATAATTCGATGCGAAGACTGCATTTCTGTATGGTGATTTAGAACAGACTATTTATGTAGAGCGAATTGGCTTTGAACTAGATGATTGTGTGTGTTTATTACGAAAAAGCTTGTACGAAAACAAGCTAAAACAAGCATCAAGCAATAGAATAAAAGAATCAATGAATTTTGTGTAATTATGGTTTGATACAATCTAAAAATGATACCTGTATGTATCACTTGAATTCAGAAATTTTAATTATGTATGTATTACTGTAAGTTGATGATGTATAATCTATATATATATATAATACTTTGTTGTAATAATTGTTTAAGAATGAATGATTTATTTTTTAATCTCAATCGAATGTTCAAAATAAAATATTGCTGTATATTTTGTCGGAATGCAAATAGAAAGAAATAGAAAATGGCGAATTCTAAAAGTGTTTCAAAAGTGTTTTCTTTATGAAGAAAAAATATTAAATAAATTTAATCATATAGATTATTTTCCAGTTGCAATGCTTGCTGATCCTAATATTAAGTCCTAATATTAATTCACTAAGATATAAAAAAAAAAAATGGAATGTTGAATCATTCCATTAGAGAAACTATCGATTCGTTAATATTTTTAATGACTACAAGATCTGATCTGATATTTATTGTAAGTATTCATTCA